GCTCAGAGGGGTGCTCACAGAGAAAGAAGGCCTGGGAGAACATTGGGTAGGCAGTGTTACGTGCTAAAAGATTCCTGTCACAGAGATGGTGACCAGGTGTTCCTTCTCTGCCTCTATTGGGGAAATGTGCTTCTGCTCCCAATAAGAATACAGATTTTTGGCTTGACTTAAAAGATTCTTATTAAACCAAATTGTAAGTAGGCTCAAATATAAATAACCATGTTGGTAGGAGGGTAAGACCTGAAAGACCAATTCTGTGTCTTTGGGATTTTGCTTAGAAATGTGGTGACTTGGGTAAGTGACTAAGACATCTTAAGGTTCCCTCCAGCTCTTCTTGTGCTCTTTCCTCCAACCCCCAACCCCACCAGCAGTAGGAGTACCTGTCTTGTCAGATGCTGCCTAGAAAGAGTAGTTTCCCTATCCTTCCTTCAAGGACTTGCACCCACTCGCCACACTTAAACTCAGAGGGCAAGGCTGGCTCAGGGTTAACTTGTTTCCTGACTGCGTTCTGAGAGTATATCAAAGAAGGGGCATGCTGTAATTATCTGTCAGGAATTCTCATTACTGGTATTCAGCAACATTTCTAATATTCATTCTGTGAAGGAAAAAACTTGTAATGAAGGAGGGAAAAGGAACAGCATTGTCTGATGAGGAGAGGAGTGGGTGGAAGTGGAGCCAACGATAAAAGAAAGAAGATTTGGGAAATTGACAGCTCCAGAGATGTGTGGGGTTGAGCCTTTGGGGAACGTAAACCCTTGTAAGTGAAAAGTGCAGGCTGTAGTCAAATGACTGACATATGTCCACTGGCCCCTGATCATGAGGCTAATGTGTGGGCAGGAGTGCAGAAGGAGTTGAGGTGGGAGAAGCAGATTGAGTATGAGGTTGTGGGGGAATCATGTTCCTTTTGTGACTGCCAAGGAAGGAGTTCTCCAACTTGTTTGAACTCTGACCACTCTACTTTGCTCCTGTATTCCCTACATAGCATTTTAGATTGCATTTTTTATATCCTCCACACCAACCATAACAGCATTATTTTTGAGACTTTCAGTACAGTTAACCCCTTTCTGTGTAATGTTTGGAGATCTTTAATCTAGAATGACAAGGACTGTGATTAAGGCTTGGTGGCCCTGGAGTGATGCTTTAGAAACCTGGCCAGGATTATAGTGACAGGTCCCTGGGGAAGAGTATCAGTGCTTATCTGGAGACAGACCTCATGAGTTCTAGACCTGCCTATGATCTTAGAAAAGCAAATTACCTTTTTTAGGGAATGAAGGATGATTTTTTCCTTTATGGTTTTTGTGAGGCTAATTAAAAAGAAAACACAGGCATATTAATGATTACAGTCCTGGCCTGGCCTTGAATTTCTCTTCCCTAGCTATCTCATCTTTACTGTATCCCCGTTTTGCATATTGACTTGCTTTTAAGGAATGCAAACGTATTTTAATGTTGGCACAAGCCAAAACTGTTTGGGGCAGTAAACGTGCCATAATATTCCTAAACCAAGACTATGTTGTGTGCTGTTTGGAACTGTCTATCCTATGTCCTCCCTCCTCTGTCCCTATGACTTAGAAGCTGAGCACACATTTCACATGGGCCCAAAGCTGCCTTCGCCAGGGCGAGCCACTCAGACTTGCATCTTCCATCCCGCTTGTCTCCTTTCCCCCACAGGACCCTTTTGGAGAGAAACGGGGCCACTTTGACTACCAGTCCCTCTTGATGCGCCTGGGACTGATTCGTCAGAAAGTGCTGGAGAGGCTCCATAATGAGAACACCGAAATGGACTCTGATAGCAGCTCTTCTGGGACAGAGACAGACCTGCACGGGAGCCTGAGGGTTTAGACCCTGCTCCCCTCTCCCCTCCCGCAACTCGAGAGTCCCAGCAAAGTCCCTTCCCCCACCCCAGGGATGGAGAGGCACTGTGTATCTCCCTCCAAACGTGACGTCATCCTGCAAGATGGCAAGATGCAAGCAAGCTCGGTCCTGGGGTGCGGGAGTGGGGAGGCTCTTGCTGTTCTGACCTCCTGGGCTCTCGAGCATCCGGGGCTTGTTCATCCTATATCAGGGGCCAAGGTACCTATCCAGGAGCACCCAGGGCGAGGGCCTCTGGCAAAAACAAAGCAACCAACACACCTCTCCACAGGGCCAGCTCCTTAGGGGTAGGTGGGAGACAGAAATTGCGGTTCTAAGAAGGGGTATGCCCAAGTGATTTATGGGGGAGATCTGGAAGGGGGCTTGGGGTGGGGGACTGTCTGTGACACTTAAGCAGTCTCAGTGGTTGTCTGTCTGTCTGCAGTCTTGAAGCAGGGCTTCCCAATGCCCTTTTCCTCCCTGCCTCTCTCCTATTACTTCTCATGGGCCAGCATAACTTTGTTTTTTCTAATTTATGGTCACTGTTCTAGACAGACCAAAGAGAAGGAACAGTGGTGGAGTCTAGGCTGCTGAACAGTAAGCTTTACCTAGCACCTGAGCACCTTTCTCCTCTGCCCTCCGTTCCCTTACCCATTTCTAGATTTCAGACAGAAGGTAAATGACTGGGGTGGAATCAGTGTCTGGGTAAAGCCTGCACAGGCACTGTAAGAAACTGAAAATTGTCCCCACTATCACTGATTCGAAAAGTTCCCAACCCAGGCAGCTGTCATGTGTATGGGACTTAAGCCACTACATAGCATACATAGTCTCTCACAGATTTCCCAATGAGGGCATTGCTTCTGGGATGAGCTGCAGGGGGAGCCCGATGCCAGTCCGCTGTACTGTGTGGCTGTCCCTGTGTAGTCACCTCAGCTGTAGGTCCCCCTCCTACTTCAGTGCCCAGGGATTGGTGGGGGGCAAGGATAGCCAAAGGCAGAGGGGTTGGGGCTGGGGCTCTGGAGACTCCTCCCCTCCTCTCCCCTCCCCACCCTCTCCCAGCTGCTCTTTGTCACTGACTCTGATGGGTGTTTGCCTGGCTGTGTCGCTTCTCTGTCTGTATTTAGCTGCAGTATCCTTTAGCTGGTTGGCTCAGAAAAACGTGCTTCAGGTGCCCTGTGATACTGGGCATTGAGGGAATCCATCCTTCCCCTTTTTAATGTATTCACCCCATACTTTCCAGATTCTTGGTATGGCTCCCAGTGGGGTAGTGGTGACCCATGTGAGGCAGGGCCTCGGTCAGTATCCAGCCACGAGTAAGGGAGAGGATACCTCCTACCTGCCCTGCCAGCTGCTATTGAGGCCTCTGCCCTGTGGGTCATGGGACTTCCCTGGGGGAGTTGGGAAGGGGGTTGGGCACAAAGGAGAATGTCCTACTTGGGAGGGCAGGAAACAAACTGGACAGGAAGTGGACTTGGGGAAATGGAAGTTTACCTTGGATACCTGAAGGCTGGGTCTCTTTACAAGGAGACTCAAAAAGGACCCTGCTTCCAATTCCCCCTTCCATTCCCAGAGCTAGCACGGGGCTTCAAAGAATGCCCTTGGTCTGTTGGTCCAGTGCTGTCTGTCATCCATTTAAGTGTTCCCACTTTCAAGTGACAATCCTCTCCTTGGCCCTGCCGTGGGCAGAGCATGTCTGGCATACCAGCCTGACTTTTACGCCCTAATCTTGAGTTGAGGAAATATATGCACAGGAGTCAAAGAGATGTCTTTATATCTGACTGTACATAAATGAAGTTTTTTTTTTTCTTTTTGGTGCAATAAAGTTTGTTTTGGCAGAAGAAGGAAGCGCCTATGGGTATGGGAGGGTTTGTGTGAAGGAAGAATGGGATCACCTCAACAACCACACCTCTCACCTAGGCCTAAAACTAATGGAGACAGTGCCCAGTACATTGGAAGCTGACAATGAGTTAACATGATATGGGTGGAGACAGGACTACTGGTGACGTATTTGCCACCAACTAGAAATAGAAGGGTTCTATTTGAGGCTGGTTCTGGCAGTCAAGGAGAGGAATGCCATCCAGAGAAATCCTTATTCAGAAATTGGAAAATGAGTGTGTCCTGTGAGGACCAGCAGAGGTAGAGGTGGCCTTAGACTGTAACTACCGTGTGGGAATAGCGTCTTCATATGGATACTCCAAACCACTGGGTTTTCCATGTTTAGAGTGTTAAATTAGCCCTTAAGAATTCGGCATTCAGATCGTGAATACTCTGGGCTTAACACTGGCCTCCTAACTCATCACTACCTTCCCTACTTGCTGTAGAAGGCTCCTGTTCTCTGGTACAGAGGCTTTTCCTCTCGACTGACCATGTGCATAGGAAGAAATAATGCACAAAATGTCCTGCTAGCCTTAACTGTGCAAAGCCATGGTATAGGAAAGCAAGGACTGGTGGTGGTAGACCCAGGCTCTAGCTTTGGTTCTGCCTAACCTGGTGGCCCCTGGTAAAATAGATTCCTCACCTATGAAGTTAAGGCTACCTATTTTGAAGGGTGCATATAAACGGCACATGGTAGGTGTTCAGTAAGTAATTCCTCCCCCACCACTAAGCCCAGAACCTGGTGATCAGTATTGGAGGGAAGCTGGGAAACAGTACTACATTTATTATTGGTTGATTCCCCCTCAAATTCCACTGTCATCTTCCCTTTAACCACCATTCAACGTTAACCTGTATTTCCTTCACACTCTTAGCCGAGGCTCTCGTAACTTGGATCCTCTACAGAGGAAGCTGGAAGAGACAAAGAATCTTACTGGTCCATCAGAGTCTGCTTGTTTGAGATAAGGGATTTTCATAAGGAAGAGGTTTGAATTAACAGGCTGTGATTTATGTCTCAAGACTACAAAGAGACTAGACTGTCTAGCCATAAGACGGATGGCCTTCGCTGTAGGCCCAGTCCTTCCGTAAACTAGCAGATGACCTGTGCAAGTCATGGCATACGTACTGTTCTCTGTGTTAACTCAGGTTATCCTTTCCAGATAAATGAGATTGTCTCCAAAAAAGATGCAATGTGAAGGCACTTTAAAAAATAATAAAATAATGGGTAAAGAATACTGGGGGAAGAAAAAAACTTGGAATTGTTCTATTTTTTTTAAATAAAGCTATCCAGGTTTTATTCTCCAACAGTTCCTCCCTCTTCTCCCTGCCTGCTGTTGTGTCCCCTTCCGCATTCCCAGAGTCAGGGAAGGGCTTCTCTGGCCTCCTCAGCTGTAATTTCCTGGGAGTAGAGGTCAGTGAAGAGAGCTGGCAACCAGTAGTGGGCCTCCCCTGGGGCCTGCAGGTCCAGCCAGGCCAGCCCTTCCTTCAGCAGGTGTTCCTGGAGAGAAAATGAATGACAAGTCATTTCAGAAAGGGGGGTTCCCATAGACAAAGTATAGTAAACAATCTCCGAACTTATTTTGGCTCCAGTGGGGTCTTCAGACAAATCTTTTTTGAGTGCCTTCACGCATTTACACAACCAAACGAGAATGATCTGGCCTTGACCTTTGCCCGAGGTGTGAAAAATGCCACCAAGTCACTTAACCTATGCTGTTGGGGGAAAGAGTAATGATAAGTAGAGTGGGATGTTGTGGAAAGAATGTAGGACTACAGAAATACTTGTTGTATGGCCTAGAGCAAATCGTTGCCTCCATTTCACTAAAGTAAAATGGAGATCACTGTTGAGCTCTCTGTTTCCGTACTGGGAAACAGGCAGATGTGGGCAAACCTTTTGAGGGAAGGACCTACAGTTCCTACAGCCAGAAACATGCTTGAAATGGGTTCTGCCCAATATCATGAAACAGATGTTCGTATTATCCCCACTTTACAGATGAAATTATGTCTATCGTTTAATTGCCTGGATAAGGAAAAAGGTATTGAAAGCCAGGGCTCCCACACTCATGTTAACTCTCCCTACACAACATCAAACTTTCCTTAGTACCATGAAATTTGTATACATAAAACTATATATATGAAATATAATAGTATATAATTAGAGAGATGATGATCCTAAGTAGTTAATTCCCTTCAGCCTGTCTTAGGTACTACTTCTATAAAAACTATGTTAACTCACTGACCAGACTCATGGGTTGAGGGAGAGGAGGCGCTGACGACTCCCCTGGAGCAGTGGCAGTGGCAGACTGGCTTTGCACACATGCCAGCATTAGAAGCCTGCTTTGTGAGTTCTACCTCTCAGAGGCATCTTCAGAGAAATGCCAGGGTTATTTCTCATTTGGTAGCAGCTGCCTTCAAGGTAAGAGGCCAACAGAGTGAGGCTGAAGTTTCTGCCTTTATGGTACCTACCATCCACCCACCTCTGCCCGTCCGGGGCCCATCTTTACTGGGCTGTTCCAAAAGTCACATACCAGCACCTGCCGCGCTCGCTCGGTCTCCCATTTAAGACTGGCTTTGATATCACTGACAGTCACGAAGCCATTTTTCTGAAGCAAGGAGGAATGGGGAGTTAAGAGTGTACTTTCTTTCAGAACCCAGCATCTGCCCAGGGACAACCAATGGAACCGGACAGGAGGAGGAACTACCCTTGGGACACATCTACGACAGCATAGCAAAAAGAATGCATAGGGGTCCCAAGAGAGTCGAGAAGTAACTTTCAGGGTGATAGAGATAGGTTGGGGATTTCAGTCTTAAGAAGTGGGGTCCCTAGTACTAAAATAGTGATTTAGACTTTTCTCAGAAACTCTACAGTATGACACAGGAAGATTCAGAATGATTAATTGATAGGAAGGGTGATAATCATTAACTGGTCATAATCTAAATATTTAAATATTAATCTCTTGCCCTGCCTCAGCCCAACTATTTCCCAATCCAGAAAAGCCCCTCCCTTAGAGTGGTTTCTACTCTACATTACAGACTTAAGAAAACTGCACATGTCTTCCCTAAAAGGATTTGGGGGAAGATGGTATATATGCTTAAGGCATGCTGAGGAATGGAGGGAAGGCAAACAAGAACACATATTTGTCTTGAAGAATCCATAAAGTAGTTTTAAGACATTAAAAGAATCTACCCGAGGAAATAGTTGTCTGCATGTCTGTCTACTAGACTGTAAGCTCGAGAGCAGGAACTATATGGTACCCATCTTTTTATGCCCACAGCCTAGCCCAGTGATTGGCACTGTAGCTGCTCAATAAATGTCTGCTGAATAAGCACAGGCGTGAGTAGTGCATCCATTAGACAGGCTCAGTGAAAAACCCAGTGAAGGGAGAAGCTGCTCCAGAACACACCCCCAGACTGTCCCTTACACACACACACACAAACACTCACTCTCTCTCAGAAGGCACCCCAGTACCTCTGCCAGTTGCAGCACCACGGTGTGATCCATATTGAGCTCAGCTGGAACAGACTGAATGAGGTAAGTGCCACCCACAGGGATGATGCCGAAGCCAGTGCCAAGTGCCTTTAGTTTCTTGATGGCCCTGATCAAGTCGTCTCTGAGGTGAGGAAAAGCTGCTTAAAGACTCTTCGTAGACAACCTAGCAACAGTGCAGTTTCAGCTCTGTCCCTGGCAGAATACCCTGAGAGGAGAGTCAAAAGGCTGTGCAAAATTTAAGGACATCAGTAAAAAGCCAGGTTTAAGTCACCAAGTGTACCTTCGACATTCAAGGGAGATGGTACAGGAGTCAGGCTCTCCACTCAGCAAACTATTCCAACACTGGACAGAGGTAAAAAATATGCCTACAGGAGCCCATCAGAAAATGTGAATGCATGTAAGAGGCAACAGGGAGTAGTATGAACTATGGCACAATAGAGAATATGTATCCCTTTCAAATGGGGCAGCCCAGCTGATGATTGTCATTTGGAAATTCACACCCAGTACTGTCAGATTTTCTGATTTCTTATTTCACAAACTAACTCAAATAACGGAGAAAGCAAACCCATAAAATAGCATGTAGACCATATATCCAGCCCACACACTGAGAGCTTTTTACCTTTTCTCAAATTGGAATGGCACATAAGAGGCTAGTGACCAAGGTCAATTTATATCCCATCTTCTAACCACCACTCCCTTTCCCCAGCCTTTCTCAGTGCCTGCTCTGGTCTCCTGGACCTCAGATAATCTCAAGAAAGGCAAGTCCCATGTATGTTAAAACACACACACATTCATGAAAAAAATGCTTAGAAGGAAATACACTAAAACATTTAACAACCGTAATCTCTTAGTTGAAAATAATGGGTGGTTTTTGTTTTCTAATCTCTCCCTGTATTTTCAGTTTTCTAAAGTAAAGCCTTTTTTTCTGATCACAAAAATAAAAATGATTCTTAAACTAGCCTACACAGATGACTGGGAGGAAGAAAAGATTTCCATCCTATTTTTAAAGACCTTTCTATCCAAGATGTTGGAAGGCAGGACCTACTGGCTGACATCCTGTGCGAATTTGCCCCTTCCTTTCAACACCTGTTGATGCAGTTCCTCCAGAGTTATCAGACCTATTGGAGAATGGGGACAGAAAGCAGATGATTACATTTACGGCTAAAACACACACACACACTCACACCCCAAAGGCAGCAGCATCTCTGAAAAGTACAAATGCTCTCAGTATCAAAGCTGGGTCTATTGGTAGCCAGTGATTTTATAAGTGGTTTGAAGTTTTCTTTCTTAACTTCAACACAGACCATTCAATGCGCTTATTAAGATGACATGACTAGATGAACATTTTTAAGGTCATATTTTAGGTAGAACAGATTCAGCTGGTATCACCATATCTTAGAGAGGCAGGGCAGGCCCATAGTTATTAATGAGAAAATCATTACCCAAACACATCATCTGCCAGGGGAAAAGACCTATTTCCTACCTCCCTACTATTTTCTGTAATGACCATGAGCTAGATCTTCTGGCCAAAGATCTTTGGAGAGTAGAGACAATTATTCAGGTAATTCCACTTGCCCTTGGCCATGAAGACCTGAAATGGATTCAACTGCACGAAGCAGCTAAGATGCTTCTCAAGACACAACAGCATCTCAAGATCCTACTGGCCTGCAGACTGAAGCATAGAAAGATCATCTTTCAAGGTTTCTCCCCCTCAGAGAAATCCAAAGCTCCATCTACAGGACCTAGCCACCCTCACCTCCATTCCGATGCTTCAGGGCTAGACACACTTCAATAATCTGCACACCCAGCTCGTAATAGAAGTCTCCCACACCTAGCATCTCAGACCAAAATCCTTTTCCAGCTAAAAGGAAGAAAATCAAAAGCTAGGTTATACATTAGTTTACATCTTGCTTTTCTCTCAAAGCTAGATTAAAACATCTATCATATGCAGTCTTTCCTGCCTAGCCTTAAGTCCTTCTGCTCCTTTTACTACTCAGGATTTTTGAAGTAATTTAACTTGGAAATTCCTGCTAATGAACAGGCTCAGACAGTTCTCAAGGGTAGACAATCTAAAGGCTAATTCTACTTGGCTAATTCTGAGTCCGGATACTGTAAAAATGAGTTTTCCTTTCCCAAAGCATACAACGAAATATGGTGGGACATATGGTCTGACAAGGCTAAGAGAGAGAATATGCGGACCTGGCATTCAAAAATCCACTGAGAATAATATTTTGAGTGGAAAATGCAGGTTATAGAGTAATAATTATAGCATAAATCCAATATGTATATATGTATATATATATGTATTTTACAGTTTATAAATACAGTGAAGGTACCTAGAAAGGTAAGTCTTACACTGTTAACAGAACTTTATCTCTGCAATTATGGGACAGAGTCAGGAGACTTCTACTTTCTCCTTTTCTTTTTTCTGCTTTGTTGACTGCACGATTATATCGTATTTTTATTAAAACATTTTTTAAATAAAAAATGGCCATAAAAAATTCCACTGTAGATCATTCAAGAAAAGATCATGTACACTGGCTACTTAGCCTGCACCCCCGCCTCTCCATCTTCCCCATTAAAATGGGCACTCAGCCATCCTGTCAGGTACTTCCGAAAGACAACATCCCCTGGATCTTCCTGCAGGACCTTCTAGAAGATGCCCTAACAATAGTGATGACAACTAGGTAAGCTTCTGTCCTTTTGGAACCCTAGGAGAGCACTAGAGCCCCACAGACAACTCCTTACAGGCCAGAGGATCCACCCCAATGGTGGCACACATGTCCTGAAACTGCACCCGGAACTCCGGATTCTTCCGGATCTCCTGCTTGTGCTTGCTGGCAAATTCCTCCAAGTTGGTCTTAAACATGTCCAGCTGCTTGGACATCTGTAAGATGGAAAAGGGGGAGGTTAGGGGCAGCCCAGCAAGGTGATAATCAGATGCCAAAAAACAGGTCTTTGGCCCAATGGCAAGGCAAAGGCTGAAATAACATGTCCTCCAGGCCAACCATTATGCTGTTTACTGTTCCCTTTTTCATCCCTGCATTTCCTTCACAGTTCTGTTGCCAGCAGAAATGAGATAGTGTAATGTTTCCTCAATTCTAAAATACACATTTTTTCACTTGTTCCTGTCAGGATACATCTAACAATCAACACACACATCTACTGTGGTGCTTCATTTCTTTTACCCAGAAAAACTGTCATTAAATTGAAGATGCACTTAATAAATAATCCAGTTTGTGTCAAAATGAGGGGATGCAGCATTCACATAGAAAATCTTCAGCCACAGACAGGCTAGATAGGAGAAAGGGGAAGCCTGGCATGAATTAAGTATGCAATGGTTGTTTCATCTTTGTGAATCCTGGACCTCTATCAACTCCAGATAAAGAATCCCTGAGGGAGGGGTATGGATCTACCAGATTCCATTCCAAAGCTAAACACATGTTCAGTGATTTTCTGACCTCCTATTTATATTACTCCTTCTCTTACCCCATTTACCCTACAAGAGTAACCACTCTTGGCCCAACATCTCTCCATTTGCTACACAGTAGAAATTTACACACGTAATAATCACCTTTTTCAGTTGATGCCTGCATGTCCCCTATGAATGGGAATATTTGAAGAGCACAACCAGTGTCTACTTATCTTTCTTCAGTTCATGGGCCTATTTCCCTGCTTAACTGCCTCTGTCTCTTCACCAGGCACAGTAACTGAGTAAACTTGGGGCATGTACAGATAAGAGAAGTTAGGAAACTGCAGGCTCCTCCTCACCACTCACACACACACTTCTGGTACGCACCTAGTGAGGGCAGTGGTGGTGGGTGCCACAGCTCAGGTAATATTTTGTTATCCTTAAGTGATTAAGCAAAAACTCCAAAAGACCTAAATCAAACAGCTGAAGTAAACTCTACCACTTACTAACCACCTAATCCTGGATACATTACTTAACACCTTAGTGTCCTCAATTCCAAATGCGGAAGAATATAGCTCCTTCCTGATGAGACTGTCAGCAGGAATGAAAATGATAGTGTATGTGTAAAGAAAATGGACATGTGCCTGGGATGCTATGAGCATATGATCACTTAAAGATGTCAGCTATCATTATTATTAGCGAGTCACCTAAAAGACTGGAGTAGCCCAGAAACCAGGATTTGCCAAATACCCTACTTTTAGTCCAATCCAAACAATCCAGTTTACATCAAAGGTGCCCTGTCCAACCTTGTCCATCTGTCCATCAAAGGTGTCTCCGTCCTGCCTGGGGCCCTCCAACCGACTCACCTGGGCCAGTTGGTCCTCAGCCAAGACAGTCCCTCGCTCCTTATACTTGGCCTGTCAGACAAAGAGACCAGCATGAGTTGAGAGTGGGCGCTGGTGACTCCCACTTGTATTGCCTGAAGTACGAAAAGCAGAGGGTCTCTCTTAAACGGACTTTCTTAGGAAGAATCAGGAGGAAGAATAAACGACTCGTCTGTAGTCAAGATTTGGGGAAAGGACGGTGGATTTGGGGATGCCGACATCCTGCAGTTCCCCGGGACCCCAGAAGCCTGTGCCAGGTTCCGATGGGAGGCGATTTGAGGGTATAGAGCTCTGCTCGGAGAGACTTGAATGTCTCTCGGGTTGGGGCGGCTGTGCACCGGCCTCCTTCCCCTCACCTCGGCAAGCTTCTTCTTGGCGATGGCGCCAGCTCCCACCCCGCGGCGATGCATTCCCGCCCCGGGCCCGCAGGCCGCCGTGCTGCCGGGACCCGGGGTCTCCGCGTCCCGGGATTAGCCTCCGGCTCCCCAACGTGGAAGCGCGGCTGCGCGTCATCTCCGTGCGTCGGAAGCTAAGCGCCGACTTCCTGCCGGGTGAGGGGATTACACGCCGCCGGGAGCCCGACAGCCCCGCCTTTCCCTGGTGGCCGAGCCCGTGAAGCCCCGCGGCAGGGGAGGCCGGGTGCACCTGGTTCCCGGGCCCAGTCTCAGTCTCCGATGTGCGCCTCGCTCGCTCCCATCTCCCCGCGACTGCCCTTGCACCGCCACCCCAGCCTGGCGCTGGAGCCCGGCGGGTACCTACTACTACGTACCAGACGCTGCGTTGGGCACCGAGGATTCCAAATTGAGCATACAACAGAATCCCTCAACTCTAATGGAGCTTACCTGTTGGAATCACGCAGAGCTTCTGCCGTGGAAAGGCTTTGCAGTTAAAAACTTGGACTCTGGAGTTAGATTGCCTGGCTCCGTAACTCCTTTCCACTAACGTAACAGTCCAGTAACTTAAGACAAATTCCGTAATATGTTGTGTTTCACTTTCCACCGTTGTGAAAGAGTAATACCTACTCGTGAAGTTGTTATTAGGATTAAATATACATATTAATGGAATATATTGAATATACTAAAATCTATTAATAGAATATTATGTATGTAGAGGATTAAACATAATGTTTCACACACACACCAGGACATTACTGGTATAGAAACACAGAAATACAAAATAAAGAACAGCATTTAATACCTGATAAATAATATCAGCTGTAATTGTTGTTTGTCAGGTTTAGAGTGAAATGAGTCATCTGTGTGTTTGGAAAGCTCCACAGATGATTTCTTGAATATTTCTGAGTCTTAACTGGGAATACTAAAACCCAATTTTTGTTTTAGAAAAATTAGTGGCAACCTAGATTTAAGTCAGCTATAGCAATCCAAACTAGAAATGATGAGAATGGGACAGATTCAGGAGATATTTGGAGGGTAGAATGGTAAAACTGATAAGATGGGGGCAGAGTGGGTGGGGAGAATGAGCAAAATGCTCAGTTTTCTGGTTTGGGCTATAGAGTACGCCATCCAGGGATGGATAGACCATAGGATGAAGCTGGTGAAGTGAGGGTGTTTGAACATGTTGAACTGGAGGTCCTTAGGTTCTTCTTTTTTGCAGCCATCGCTGAAGCACCAGCGGCTAAAATGAAGTCCAGTCCCTTTGTGACTTCTGACCAGAGCAAGGACCATAAAAGGCATCTCAACACACCTACCCACATTTGCAGGAGGATTATGTCTTCCCCCTCTTACCAAAGAGCTGAGACAGAAATACAATGTTCAGTCCATGCCTGAAAGGATGATGAAGTGCAGGTTGTTCGAGGACAACACAAAAGTCAGCAGATTGACAAAGTAGTCCAGGCTTCCAGGAAGAAATATGTTATCCACACTGAATGGGTATAGTGGGAAACAGGCAAATAGCACAACTGTCCATGGGGGCATTCACCCCAGCAAGGTGGTTATCACTAGACTAAAACTGGACAAAGATCCTTGAAAATAAAGCCAAATCTCACCAAATAGAAAAGGAAAAGGACAAATAAAGAAAATTGAGAAGATGCAGGGATGAAGTAAAAATACATGCAACTTTCAATTAAAACTTAAATGAGGAAAAAAAACAGAAATGGAGGTCTTGGACATCACAGGAGAGATGACCAGTTATCACTGGATATACTGGTATAAAGTTACACAGAAAGAGTTGGGCTGGGCCACACATCTGGAATCATCAGCAAGGTGAAACATGAGCGTGAATACTGTTATCAGAGAGGTTTTGTGTAAAAGGATAAAAAGATGGTGGCAGAATATTTAGATGCCATTTTGGACTTTGAGGGATGATGGAACCATGAGCCCAATGAGCCTGGGGCCCTGAGGATTTATTGGAGCAGAAAGAAAAATAATATTCTTTCTTGCTAAAGGCACTATTACTTTGTGTTTTCTGTTCTTTGAGGCAGAATCTAATGTTAACGGATGAAAGAACTAAGGTGAAAACAATCATTCAGCCTTTCAGTCAGACCTTCAGATTCACTCTCAGACACACCCCAACCCAAAGCTCAGATAGCATAATCCCCCGTAGACACTAATTACTTTCTCAGGCACAGATTTGCCCCTCCAGCATACATTAGCCTTTTCAGACACCCTCTGTTACATACTGAGCTCCTTCAATATACCTACCCACCCCTTTCTGCAAAAAATCTACTATCACCTATGTACACACGTTGACCTCATATCCTCATATTCTTACTAGACCTAACACAAAAGCTTGATCCCTTCAATACTCGCTGATACCATCTAGACACACCTGCTTCATTTCTCACTCTAATGCACACTTTACTATCCCTTAAAGTACTCACACTGATCCTTTATTCACACTCATGACTTAAGGTTTAACTACTCATACTCTCAAATCCATAGGTACTCACTGTTGTAAGTACACGCATTGGCCCTGGACACTTGTTACCACATTCACACAGCCATGCTCATTCCCTTATTCAGACATTTGTTCTCTTTTATAATTTTAGAGGAAGTAGGCTGACCAGAAATGTGCTGGTAAATATTTAACAACCACCTCTCCAGTTTGGGAGGGAGAAACTCTGATTTATAGCATTTGCCAATTCCCATGGTGTAAATACTCTACCATGGCCAACTTCAAGCTATTAATGGTTTTACAACCTGCTCATAAAATTCCTGCCATTTTAACAATGGCTCTCATAAGCACTCAGCTCCAGTGTACCCCTGAATGCTGATTATCAAATACCTGTAGTTGCTTTTAAGTGACTCACTGGCCTTGTGGGTAAGAGCATGGGCTTTTACTTCTCTACCTCATGGAGGCAGTAAGTGCATGGTGAACAGAGATCATAAAGTGTGAAGAGGCTCTAAATGACACAAAGTTTATAAAGTACTTTATAAAGTGCTAAGTGCTATGCCCTGCCCACAATAAGAACACTATACAAAAATTTTAAATATAACCCTTTCTGATTCACTGATCTCTGACACATTAAAGATTCCAGAAATACAGATCCAAACTTCTCCCAAGACAGTCAGTTCTATCATGCAGAATCACTAAAATGTATCCTTTTGAGCAAAGGCATGCTCTAAATTGTGTGCTACACACTTTCAGACTCAAGGAGGTTATAGAAACTGGAAGTTCAGAGCTAGAAGATATTGCAAACTGACAACCCTCAGGCAAATTCAGTTCTTAAGAGTTTTGTTTGGTTAGCAGAATGCCTTCAGGCAAGCATGCCTCTTCCATTCTCACAGTCCCCATCCATCCTATTATCTTATAAGCTCCCCACTTTGCTCATCTGTGCTACTGGCTCAGCCCTTCAGCTTGCCACTCCCTGATTTTAAACTAACACACTTTTGTTTTTAAACTGAGGTTTAGGGTGAATAAATAGTAACTACAGTAAACTTTTATTGACCACTTACTTTGTGCTTGGCATTACCTTAATTAATACTTCAACCCTATGAGGTGGGTACTTTTTAATCTTTTTACAGACAAGAAATTGAGGCTTAGAGGGAGGAACTGATTTACCAGGTCATGGAGTGAGTGATTTGAATCGACGTGTGTTGGACTCTGTTCTACTAAAATATGACCAGATCAAGAGGTGAGGGGACATTCCAGGGAAAGATAACCCAAGTGTAGGGGAGAAGAAGAGACAGCCTTGCCTTCTGTGGCTGCAGGGCATTGCAAGAAGGCTGCTGACTAAGGTGGGAAGGCTTTGCACAGGGAAGACAAAGGTATTGACCTTTGGACAAACCAAGTCTGCCCACTTCCCTTCACCTCCACTACCAGCATCCTAGTAAACCTAGGAATCCTGTAGGAGTCTCTTCCTCTTCCACTTTCATCCCTATTCATCGCAATGTAATCCTTACTATCACCAGCAAGATTGTTTTGGAATGCAAATAGACCTTCCCTGACAAACCCATGATTAAAGTCCTTCAACCAATGACTAGCCCTTGTACTGAGGTTAAAATCCAAAAGCTTTAACAGGGCCCTTAGGTCCTGCCTCTACCCACTTGTCCACCTGTGCTATTCTCCCCATTGCCTGTTCGGCTGCATAATAATAACACTGGCTAATATTGCTTAAGGCTCTGACTCCTTACTCCCTAGGCTTCTCTGTTTCCCCTTCATCGCACCCTAATCTTTCTTCGGGTAACTGAGCATGTTACGTGATTATTAATGAGCTGGTATGTTTAAAGATTAAGGTTTGTCTCCATCACTAGACTCTCAATTCCTCAGGCACAAAGACTGGGTTTGCTTTCTTCATTGCTGTATGCTCAGCATTTAGCACCTTCCTTGCTTATATTAAGTCTCCAATAAGTGTCTGTAGAAAAACATAGATGAATTATCAAATGCAGGTAAGAGCCATATCTCCTTTTCATTGGTTGGCACACAGACAGACAAACACATACTGTTAGTGATCAGTAGACATTTAAGTTTTGACAATTGGCATAAATATTTCAGCTTAAAACTTTATTGGTTTGATTTCTCTTGGGTATTCTGGAGTGGGGCTGACGCATGAGTAACTGGAGGGCAGAGTCCAGTCCTGAGCTGGGTTTGGTCTGAGTCACTGAAACCTGGGGAGAGTGGAGAGAAGAGGGGAAGTGGTGGAGAGGAGAGGAGGGTCATTATCGGCTTGGAGTCAGCAAAGTAAATTTATCCTGGCACTGAGCCATAGTTCAATTGCTCCTACCTCCAAATTACCTTTTTAATTATAAGTACTCAATTCAAAAAAAGCAGAGAGACTGTTACCCACCTTCCTATGGAAATTTTCTGATACTGTCTTCTTCATTGTTCCAGTCACATTCCTCTCTCCCTTCCCACTCTCGTATAGTAGCTGTCCAGCTTCGTTCCCTCAATCCCTTCCTGGATTCCCAGCTTCCAAGTCTGAACATGTTTTGGTTTCTGTGCCTGAGTGTCTGCATCTTGAATGAGTGTCCTGTCTCACCCTCTAGGTGGATGGGTCTCTTCATGGTATTTAGCCATCCCTTACTTCTGGAACATAATAGACTGGAGAACCTGCTAGCTGGTGAGATGAA